CACCAGTGCCCCCCCCCTACCCATCTGGCAGCCCTGCTGGGCAGTCAGTCCTCTCCCAGACCCCAGACCCCTGAGCAGGGGGCATAGAGCTGAAGTGTGGCATGCAGAGCTGAGGCCAAGTACTGAGAAATTTAGAAGTCAGTAGTCCTGGGGCAGAGACATGCTGCAGGTTGGCTTAGCCCATCTGTCTCCAGGTAGGGGCCCTCACCAGCGGGTCCTACCGGGCCTGTGAGCTCAGCCACACTCAGGGTGGTGTGGACACTCCAGGCACTGTTCCCTTCTGTGTGCAGGGTTCAAGTGTTCTGTGAATGTGTGTGTGTGTGTGTGTGTGTGTGTGTGTGTGTGTGTGGCAGGGGGAGGATAGTCAACCTTGTCGAAGGGATCAGATGAGGCCATCTATGGCTCTAATACCAGTCAAGAGGCACGTGAATGTCATAGGTTCCCTAGAAGGGGCAAGAGCAATGGCAGAAGAAACCCATAGTTTCTAGAAGGTTGAGATGGGCCTTGTGGGAAGAATTCTGTCAGATAGAGAAATGAGGCTGAGTGGGGGGGTGTGGGGGTTCTCCAGGGACCAGAACAGCTCAAGCAAATGTGTGGAGGAAAGGAAATGTGGTCAAATTAAGAGAAGGACAATTCTGAGTTTGGCCAGGGGTCCTTGGGCTGAGTGAACTTGAGAATGCTTTCACCTCTCTGCCAAAAATAAAAGTTCCTTCAAAAACAAACCCCCCCTCTCCAACCCCCGCCCCCCCCAAACCCCTCAACATCAGAGGCAGCATGATACAGGAGAAAGAGTTCACACCCTGGAGTTACACCTATTTGCTGTAAAGACTTGCAATTCTGGAGAAGTACTTCAACTTGACTGAGCCTCAACTTCCTCAGCTGTAAGAGAGTACTTCATACAGCAGATGAAGAAAGACTAAGACCTAGGTAGAGTGTTTACACCAGTGCTGGTGCTCAGTAAACACAATTCTCTCAGCCCTGCAACATCATGAGTCTCTGGCTGGCTCAGCTGGAAAAAGCCTGCAGCCTGGTCACCTGTGCTTCTTGGACTAGTCCCTCTGGGGATGCGGGCAGTATCTGCTTGTGGAGTTCCAGCTTTGCTTGTTTCTTCTGAAATCACTTACCTCTCCAAGGAAGAAGGAGCCAAGGATAGACACATACGCGGTCTGACAATTAAGTTCAAGAACTCATCCTAGAAAAAGTGCTACATACCTCACTGCTGAATATCACTACAGTTACCTTCGAAGTACTCCCCTTGGGAAGCTATGCACCGATGCCAGTGCCTAGTCCACCCTTCAAAGCAATTTTGGAACTTTTTCTGGAATGGCCATCAGAGCTGTTGTATTACCCTTGATGTCCTGAATGTCATCAAAATGTCTTCCTTTCAATATTTCCTTAATCAGGTGAGCTGGGAGGGTGTTCCAATACAGTTATTTGTTTCCTGGCTAAAAACTCCCTCACAGACAGTGCTGTGTGAGCTGGTGCATTGTCATGATGCAAGAGCCATGGATTGTTGGCAAAAAGTTCAGGTTGTCTAACTTTTTCATGCAGCCTTTTCAGCACTTCCAAATAGTAACCTTGGTTAACTGTTTGTGTAGTTGGTACAAATTCATAATGAATAACCCCTCTGATGTCAAAAAAGGTTAGCAACATTGTTGCAACAAGTTCAAGAACTTATTTATCAGATCTCATGTGTATTAGTCCTCGCTAACAGAAATTGTACAAAGCTGACCCCACTTCCTCCCTCTGCCTCCTTCCCAACATCCAACAGTTTTTCCTCCATTTCCAAGGGCTTGAGGAAGGGTACTTTTCTTTCCCAGACTTCCCATTATCCAGTAAAGCACAGGGGGCTTCCAGTTCCTCTCCTCTTCTGGCACACAAGTTCAGGCAGGCCCTGTGACCTGTTGACTTGCTCTGAGCTAGCCTGCTGTGGGCCCTGACTGGAGACAGGACGGACTGAGATGGGCAAGGATGATCCTACTTGCTTGGAGGCAGGAACTGAGACAGATGTGAGGTTTTGCCGAGAAAGGCAGGGATAAGAATGTTGTGACATTTCCAGGAAGGTGAAACCTGAAAGGAACAATAGTTGTGTGTGACCTGGAGAGCAGCCTAGCTGCATTGATCCCTTCAGCCTCTTTGAGTCCCCACCCTGGGTCTCAGCAAGGTTGCCTAATTGTTTCATGACGATGACTGAAAGCACTCTGAGAGCTAAACCCTTGTCTTATAAGGCTGGCCTGTTCTGTCCACCTTGACCTGCCCAGGGCACAGCAGGAGGATGCAACAAAGGCCAGCTGGCTGGGAGATGGAAGGGTAAAGGGAAGATTGCGTGGAGGGGTTGGGCGGAGGGCAGGTGAGGGTGGGCCCAGGGGCCAGGAGGAACAGTGGCAGAATGGGAGGCCTGAGTGGGCACAGCCAGAAGGGTCAAGGGAGGAGGGATTTGTGGAGGGGTGGGCCAACCTAGGGGATGAGGACCAGGGGCAAGACAGGATGGGGGCAGGCTGTAGCAAAGTGATTTCTAAAGATATGGTGGGGGCCCTCCTCAGGGATGGGGAGGCCAAGGCGCTAAACAGACCCCACTCAACATCTCAGAGACAGTGTCAAGGCCTTTGGGGACTGTGGTAGGTAGGAGCCAGGATGAGGAAGAAAAAAGGGCAGGTCTGGGCCCAACCACCTCACCTTGATTTGTAAATTGGGCTGGGGCTCCTTACTTCCCATGCCTAAATCCCTACCCCACTGTCACTCACATCACCCAAAGGGGCCTTCAGGAGCCAATGGGATGTCCTCCTTAGTGACTTGTTCTGAAAGCTAGAATCTGAGACCCCTGAGTCCAGCCCTACTTCCATCACCTTCCTGTTTCTTGTTGGCCAGTTGGTCAGAATGCACATCTGTGGGGACACCCTGGGGAAAAGTCTCCGCAGTATGCCTCATTTTGGCACCTGGGGCAGTTGCTCTAGAAAGAGGAATCCCACTTGAGGTGTGACATCCATCCATCTCACAGTTCCAGTGTGGGTCCTCTTCTGCGAGGAGGCCAGGGCTGGGCCAGGCACTCAGGCTGGGCTCCTTAGCATTCACACCCCTTCTCTGCAGGCATTATTCTCCATTCCTTAAGCCAACAGGCACTCTTTCTTTACCCTCCGTGTTGGCAGGGTAGGGAAGTTTCTGGTGATGGGAGCAGCTCTGGGCCTAGGGCTGCTCCTATCTTAGCAGTATAGGACATAAGGGCCACAACAGGCCTCAGAGACTGAAAGATACAACCTCTTAGCTGGAGAAAGGCCCAGATTTGCACACAGTCAAACCTCTCCTCTGAATTTGCTGAACTATTTGCTTGTGTAGGCCCGGGCTCTCTCTGTGGCTACCCAAGAATATGGTAGGTAGCACTGGCTTCCCCTGACTTGGGGACTGGGCACTTGAGGGCAGGCATAAGAGGGGACTTTTTACTGTATATACCTTTTGGATTCTGAGCCATGTGAATATGTTACCTTTTAATAAAGTAAATAAAAAATGCAAGTAAAAAAAATCTCTTCTCCATCTTTCCCTGGGCTCCTTTGGGGTATTAGCCATCTTCTTGAGACTTGCCAAGCCCATGGGGATAGGAGCTGCATCTCAGCCAGCCCCTCAGACCCCACCAGGGCTAACCTCAGACAAGCTGGCCTCTCCTCCACAGCTCAGGTACATTCTTTCCTTGTGCCTGCTGCTGGTTTCATGGCCCCCCATGCCAGTGGTAACACCACAGGAGTCCTGCTCTAGCCCCACCTCCCTTCCCACAGATCCCCAGTCTTTTGACTCTGCCTCCTATCATCTCTCTTCAGCCCACACCTCCACTGCCATCGCATCCTGGATGTGGTCTGCAGCTCTTCTGATGCCTGCCTCTCCTTCCTCTGATCCATCCTCTCCATGAGCTTCCGATTGTAAAATAATAATCTTATCACACTACTCTCCTGCTTAAATCCTCCTGTAGCTGACATTGTTAGTGCTCTGCCCACATCCCCCTGGATGTCCTTTTCCATTTTTGTGCATGACGCCTCCTTCAGTGTGCTTTCAAGGTTGACACCTTTGGCTCTTCTTGGAGGGCTGCCCTTGGCCTCATGGATCTGCTTTACCCATGGGCTACAGCATAACCTGTGACTGCCCTCAGGCTGGGGCTACCCTGAAGACTTACACTCCAGAGCTGTTTGGGTGGCTAGCTTGCTTGTCTGCCCCCAGCCCCAACCCACCTAACCCACTGGCCTCCCCTGGGAGCACGTCCTTAATAGTGGCACTCAGCATCTAAGGTGAATCAAAGATGATTTTTGAAGGTTGGAAATGGTCTCTGACCCTCTGATTTACAGCAGCCATTCCATTACTTCAATGGCCATCTAGGTTTCTGGCTGGAAGGCTCCCCCCGGAATGGCCCTCAGCTCCTCTTTGGAACACACCCTCTGTTGCCTTGCCTTAGTCTGGGACAGCCCCCAGAGTGGGCAAGGCAGCCCTAAAGGGGTCTTGCAATCAGTTCTTCAGAAAGTAATTCAGATGGTATGATCCCCAGAGGAAGGCTGACAGTGTGTCAGTGCCATCAGCTATTCCCCTACCCCTCACTTGAATTTGGGCAGCACTTTCCTCCCAAATTCCAGGAAATCATCAATACCAAGGAAAGTGCCCTCACTGGATCAGGCCTCACTCGGAGATCAGGCGCAGCTAGAAGGCAGCAGACATCCCTGAAGAGATGGTGGTATGAGGGGGTGGAAAAGCACTGTGAGACTGAGTGCCTACTTCTGGTTGGGGAGGGGCCCTGCTCCCCAGCTGGGGCATGAGAAACAGGCCTAGCGGCCAAAGAGCAGGCGCCCCTGAGATGGACAGCTCTCCAGGGAAGAGGAGGAACAGTTCTGGAGGAAAGGGGCCTTGTCCCAGGGATGGAGTGCTTTGAGAACCCAAACATTTTGTATAGACTTTGAGTCTTCCTCTCAGGTACTTAACACACGGCCCAGCACAGAATCAGCACTCAAAACAACAACAAAAACGGCTGAAGCAGAAATGAATGAGACATTTATTAGTCCCCAAAAACAAGGCACAAAGAAGGACCGATAGGGCCCCCCCCATGGCTCACCAAGGACACACAGCAGAGGCCTTCTCTTTGTATCAGGGGTATGCGGTAGGCAGGAAAGGCTATCTTGTTCCACTGAGATAGGCCCAACCACACAGCCCGAAAGACAGAGTGGTGACGTCAGGCCAGAAGAGTTAGAACTTGCTGGAGTACAGGGTCATAATCCACTTGGGCATACGGAGGAAGCCAGGCAAGTAGGAGCCCAGCCAGCCCAGGCGAGAGGCATGGGAGAGAATGGAGCTTAAAGACAAAAAGTCGTGGACAGGGCGGCCTGCGGACAACAGGAAGAGGAGCATTAGACCCTTGTTTCCCACTCCTTGGACACCTCCACCTTGGCTGAAGAGACTGAGTGGGATGTGAGGGAGGAAGGAACAGGGGAAGAGTGAGAGAGAAGGACAGAGCAGGAAAGAGAAGGAGGAGAGGTCTCCAGGCTGGCTGCTGGGCCAGAGCTCTTACCATCCACATCCTGAAGGCCATAGCGTCGAGCGAGGTCACAGGATGGCAGCACCTTCCCACTCAGGCTCAGGATATTGGGGTCTGTGGGCACATATACAGCTGAGGTAGCATGGGAGGAGTGGTACAGGGTACAAGGTTTGGGCCTAATGGGACAGGGCACCACTGAGACAGGCTTAGGACCCGAGAACTGCTTCTGTGTGTTCCTAGTTAAGTTCCTGGGCCTCTGGCTCCTGGCCACGCCTTCTACGGGCTAGTTCCTGAGGCTCCCAAACCTCAAACTGGGCATTCGGACCCTCTGGGTATGCAGAAGCCAGAGAAAAGAAGGGTTGGTTCCTCAAAACCACCTCCTGAGCCAGGACCCAGAACTGGCTGCCACCACCCTGCAGACCCTCCAGGCCCTTTCTTGTTACCAGCTGCCTCCAGCCTCTTTACCTGTTGCCAAAGCCACCACGCATTTGCCACTCACTTCTGTGGTCTCCCCAGATGAGAAATTAAATTTGAGCTGAAACACAGGAGCAGAGAAGTGAAGGGTTAATTTCCTAGAGCACTGCCCAAGTCTCTTCTGTGCTTTCAGTTTCTGTTCCCCAAGAGAGGCCCTCGTCACTGCACCTGTAGGACTCAGCATCTCAGAAGGTGCTGGAGCCACTTCTCTACATATCCGGGTGCGCCTCGTACCCCGGCACCAAGGCTCACTGCCTTTCCTAAGTGGAAGGATCTGGGAAGCCAATTCTGCCTGGCCCTCTAGGTTAGTGTAGTGTGGGGGTCAAGAGCATAGGTTTTGGAGCTGGACAGCTTTCCACTTATGGCTTCCATGACCTTGAGCAAGTTTCTTAACCTCTCTGAGTTTCAGTGTCGCTATCTGTAAAAGGGAGATACTATCTCCCTTACAGGATCAAAGAATAATATCACGGGTACAGTGCTCTGCCACATACCTGCCGCAGTAAGCACCTGGGTATTTACTTCTTGCTGTTGTTACTGTCTTGACATTGAGGAGGGAGAGGCTGATTCCCCTGCATTCTCTGCCACCCTCGCCCTTCCCTTGCCAACCTGCTTAAGCATGGGATCCTTATAATCATCATTCTTCTCCACAAAGTCCTTCATCAGTTCTGTCTGCACCAGCCCTGGCCACAGAGACACGTAGCTGACCCCGTGCTGCCGCAGCTCCTGCGCACAATCAGCAGCCAACCTGTCACACTGGAGAGGGACAGAAGGTAGAGCGAGAGCCAGGGCACCTGGCAATGTCATCTTCCTCCTCTGCCCTCCCTGCATCTTCCGAGGATATCCCAGTCCCCTGCCCTTCCCAGGTGCCCTGTCTCAGCTGCTCACATTCCCCAGTATACTGCCTACTCTGGCCAGCTGAGAGGAGCCCAGGCGAAGGACGTGTCCACAGAGGGGCAGAGGGAGAGGTGACAGTCAGTCGGCCTTAGCACTCTGACCAGTGGGGATTCACCTCCCGAGCTGTGGGTCCTATACCGTCTCAACCCCTGTGCCACTGAGTCCTCACCGCAGCTTTGCCCACGCCATAAGGGACGTTGAAGAAATACTGCAGCCCCCCAACGGAGGAGATGACCACGATGAGCCCCCGGCCAGCTGGTACCATCAGCCGTGCCCCATACACCGAGCACAAGTAGTGGCCTCTAGAAGATGGGACAAGGAAGGAATGGACCATGTTCAGGACTGGACTGGGTGCTGTAGCCCTGGTAGCTTCTTCTGCCCTCTAGTGGCTGTAGTCAGCTGGGAGAAGGTGGCATAGGGGCGCCGCAGACCTCGCGAATCAAGAGCTTGAGGCCACCTTCTGAGAGGAACACTAGTGAAATTAACCACTGAAGGATGGGAAATGGCACTCTCTAGAAGGTGTAATGGAAAAACAAGAGCTCTGCCATAATAGCAATTACAAACCTAACGCAGCTTGGGGAAAAATGCAAGAAATGCATAAGATCTATAAAATTATAAAATTCTGTCTAATAAACTATAAAATTCTGTCTAATATAAAAGAACAAGTACAGACAACTTATTCAGAATCAACATGTAAAATGTCAGTTCTACTTTGATCCATAGATTCAATCAATTTGAGTTATATCTCAGTAAGACTTTTGGAGGAACTGACAAAATAATCTAAAGCTCAATGAGAATAAACATGTTAGAATAGCCAGGAAAATTCTGAAAAAGGAATAATAATATCTGTGGGTAAGGGGGATATGCACCCCAACCCTTCCATTCCACATTAAAATGTACGATGACATAATAGTTAAAAGAATGCAGTAACAATATACAGATAGTCCATGAAACAAAATAGTCAATAATTAGAACCAAGTGTAAATGAGAATTTGGCAAATTATAAAGGGAATATTTCAAATCAATAGGGAAAGAGGACCATTCAGTAAATGGATTTGGGACAACTGGCCAGTTATTTGGTGGGTGGGACGGCTCTCTGCCTCATTTATTATTTCAAAATGCATTCCAAAAGGATAAAATATTTAAACATAAAAAATGAATGCACAAAAGCACTAAAAAAAATATATGACAATGTGTTCATAAACTTGAGGCGGAGAAGGCTTGTCTTAGCATCACATCAAGAGGGAAACTATAAAAGAATGACAGATTTGACATATATATAGATGTACGTACATCTACATATATCTATATATTTAGATGTACATACATATATACAGATGTATATACATCTACATACATCTATATATAGATAATATATAGAGAGAGGGCTGGGAGAGCATACATGCAAAAAATGAGTAATAAATTGGGAAAAATATTTGTAAAACATATAACAAAGGAATTTATTCCACAAAGATCTCTTACAAATTGATGCGAAAAGAATAACTTAATAACACAGCTCACAAAAGAATAAAGAGCCAATAAATGAATGAATAAAAAGCTCAACTTCACAAATAATGTATGAATTACATTATTAATAAAGTATTACAAATAAAGTATGAATTAAAATCCTCTTTGGATATCTTTGGCCTATCAGAGTGGCAAAACTTGCCTGACTGAGTAGCCTGATATTGTCTAACATGGTTGAGGCGATGGGGGGGAAAATTCTCCTTCATTGTCAAGAGTTTATAAATTGGTAGGGTCTTTTTTGGAGGACAGTTTGATAATGTTTGTTAAATCTTTAAGAAGTACATCTTTTTTCCAAGGATTCCACTACTGCAATAGATAAGGAATTAGATAGATAAATTATGGTACCTCCTCTGAGTCAAATATTTAAAAGAATGGTAGAATATATACTAGACTATCAAAAGTAGCTATATTTCGGGGCCGGTCGGGTGGTTCAGTTGGTTAAGAGCGCGAGCTTTGAGCAACAGGGTCGCCGGTTCAATTCCCACATGGGCCAGTGAGCTGCGCCCGAGTCTTGTTGACTGGACTTGGAGCTGAGCTTGCGCCCTCCACAACTAAAACTGAAGGACAACAACTTGACTTGGAGCTGATGGGTCCTGGAAAAACACAATGTTCCCCCCTTCTCCAATTCCCCAACACTGTTTCCTTCCCCAATTCCCCAATAAAATCTTAAAAAAAAGAAAAAAAAGTAGCTATATCTCAGTTAAGGGAGGAACGGGTGGTGATGAGGGGAATAAGATCATACTGATTTTCACATTTTCCCATAATTTTAAAAAATAATGCACATAAACTTGATAACCAGAAAAATTTTCTTTTGCATGGGAAACAGGACCCTCCGAATGAAAACAAGTAGAGCGCTATGGTTTCAAAAGGAAGCCCAGCCTAAGGTAATGCAGAGGAAAGACACAGTACAAGAGGCGCTGAGGATGTGGGCATTGCCCATTGCCAGCTGTTTGGGTTTTCTTTTCTTGTCTCTTGGCTAACCATCCCCCTTTGTCCTCACACTCTTTCTTCCACTTTGGAAATCACAATTGGATTCGAATCCTGCTTCCTTGCTACTAAAAGCCATAGGTGTTCTTAAATACCTTAGATACAGATTTGCAGATAACATCTTGGTTACTCCCACAGGCAGCTGATCACATCGAGAGAGTATGATTTATGAGAGCGTACCATAGTTCCAACAATAATAAACACAGGCATAACTGGTATATATCATGCTGGAAGAACTCTAAATGCTGTGTTTCATCTCACTCCTGTACCAGATGTACATGTAACCCTGTGACACACCTGCCCTCCCAACTCTGACCTGGGAGTGCCCTTGCCTTTGGGTCTGGAGTGAGGATGTGGAGGCTAAGATGGCTGGCACTCACTCTTTCTTATTGGCCTTCTGTTGATCTAAAACAAAACAATTTCTTCCTCTACCCATTTTTGGAAATACTGGCTATGGGTGGTGTGCATTATTGAGGGAAGAAGACTCCCTTTTGGGTCATGCATTTGGATGCACAGAGAGTGAGGCATGACAGAGGTGAAGGGCAAGGTCGTATGAAAATTACTGACAGAAACAAGACAAAAGTTGACGTTCCCAGGTACAGATTCACCTAGATGGAACTTCTCCAGAGGTAAGTGGGACAAATGGGACAGAAGGGAGAAGAAAGAGATGGGAGGTCAGAGGGAAAGGGCATATGTGGAAAAGATCTGGGCCCTCAGCCTGACTAAGTGAGTGAGGGGAGCCCAGGCCCTTGCAACGGGGCAAGGGGAACACCCACCTGAGTCCGACATCGTTGATATCATCCCAAATGGAGGCAGGGATTTCCCAGAATGCCTTCTCAATGTTGTCCATGATTGCCTGGAAGGCACAGAGATAGTGATGAATTGGATGGTCTGAAAGCAGGAAGGTATGAGGGGCTGGATAATGGAAGGGACAATGAGTGGATATGAGGACTTGGGGGTCAAAGCGGGAGGTCAGGAGTAGAGCTGGGATCAGAGTTCAAAGAGTACCTGGGCCCCAGAAAAGGCATTGTTGACCAGCACATCCAGACGCCCGTGCTGTTCTCGGTTCACCTGCTCAAACAGGCTTTGCACTTCACTCTCCTTGCTTGAATCGCACACCACAGGCACACACCGGCCCCCTCGGGATTGTGCCTGGAGAGAGACAGAAGGGATATGAGCTCACAGTCACATATGAGTGTGAGACAGCTCAGCTGCCCTCAACTCCCAGCCTGTGAGCTGAGAAGGCCGCCACAGAAATCAAAGCCAGCAGCTGAGGGGACATGGTTGGCAATACTGCCCTCTGATGTCTGTGTGAGGAATTGCACGAGTGCTAGATCCTCTCACAGAGCAAGGTGGCTTGGGATCTCAGGTGTAAAATACACAAACATTTACTGAGGCCTACCATGTGCAAGGCATTGTACTCTGCATGTGGAGGGTAAGGGACAAATAAGGCATGGAGGTTGTTCTTGATAAATGAGTATCTATCTTTGTCCCTGTCCTTGGTCACTCCCATCTTACACGCCCTTAGTTCCCACCCTTCACCACTCACGTGGAACCTCTACTCAATCTCAGCTCTCTTACCCTCACTCCACCTGTGCCTGGTAACGAAGAAATCAGAGCTCTCAGGAATGAATTATTTCTATTTTCCAGTCTAAAAATGTGCCCCATCCTTTAACTTCAGAGGAAGTTATTGAAGAACAAGCCACCTATTCTCCAGATCCATGCCCTCTTACCTCCTTGCCTCCCAACAGCTCACCTGACCTCCAGTCTTTCTGCCTTAAATTAATTCTTTATATTTCCACCAGTATGAACTATTTAAAACACAAACCTGTTTAAAATATTCCAACGGGATCACCATCTCTTAGAGAATAAAGCCAAAGGTCTCTACCAGGGTCTTCTAAGACCCTATTTCCTCTCCAGCCTCTCACCCTATCATTCCTGCCTTGTACCTATACGCTCTGGAATTCTTGCTCACAATATCCATACTCTTTTACCATTGTCCATCTGCTTGTGAAGTTTCCTTTGCTGGAATGGTTGTCTTAGGCTCTTTGACCTAACTCTTACCTTTCAAGACTCAGTTCAAGAACCACTTCCTCCAGAATGCTTTCCCTAACCACTCCCCCATATCATCTTGATGCCCACCCCCTGCACCCAGAGCATTCTGTGCACTTTAGCCTCTTATCACTTACTATCTTCAAATTACATGGAAACAAACTGTTTCCGTCTCTGACTTACTGCTAGGCTATAGCTTTTAAGAGCAGAAGTTATAGCTTATTAATCCCAGTGCCTAGAAAATCAAATTTACCCAAATATTTATTGAACTGAAAACCAGTAGAAAAGTCAAGTAAACATGTACAGTTCAATAAAGTCTTGCATAAAATAGAGGAAAGCACAGGTCCACAGCTCTTTAGCTGCAATTCCAAAATTGCAACTGAAGCTCTCAAACAGAACATTTTTTCATAAAACTTGGTGGCAAATTTGACCTGATCTGAAGTTATTTATGGGGTTCATTTATCTCACTGTTAGTAAATATTCACGTTTTGTTGAGGAATATTATGGTTTCTGGAAAGGGATTGGAGGAGTGGGTAACAGGAAGGGCTCCTGCAGGTGGTTTCTGCCCCTGTGGTCCCAGAGGAAGTACTCACATCCTGAGCAGTGGCCCGCAGCGTGTCCATATGTCGGCCAGTGATGTAAACTGTGGCACCTGCTTGACAGAGCTGCAAGGCGATGCCACGGCCAATACCCCTGGAAGCACCAGTCACCACACACACTTGGCCCTTCATGGGAGCTGCCATGACTCACAAATATAGGGGTAAAATCTGCAGAAG